TATTGGTATATTTGTATATAATGATACAACATCCAGTGATATTATCCGATGATTCTTTGGTATTTTTTGTTGTTTTATAAAATCACAAAAGCTCCATGAGTCTTTAATGTAATATTGTGACTTTCCCAATACATTACTCAACTCTCCTTTTAGAATGTTTTAAAATATAGCAATTGTGATGTATTTTAGTGTATGATATGATGAGGCTGTTGACGAACTGTGGTTGTTTTTTAAATTAATGGAATTTTTTTTTTGGACTGTTTGTTATTTTAGAAAAACTGATGATGGTGGAAAAATACACCGAAACGTATTTTGCTTAATAAATAGAGACAATAAATGACTGAAACCCAGGAATAAATTTGATTTGTAATTGAAACACAGTCAGCAAAGTATATAGAATGGTCGATTTAAAGCCATGCTAAACAGTTACTTTTGCGGCATTGTCCGTAGTTAGTCACAGCTTTACATCCTTCCAGTATGTGACCCAGTAATGGGAGACAATGGAAAACTGTACGTGCCCAAAGAGCTGATTCCGATCTACCAGCAATTCATCCTGCCCATTGCAACTATTTTAACGCCGAACCTGTTTGAAATTGAGCTGCTGACCGACATTAAAATCACACGCGAGGAGGATATTTGGGAGGCAATCGCGGCACTGCATAGTAAGGGAATCGAGACCGTTTGCGTCTCATCTGCAGAACTTCCTGCTTGTGCCGATAAGTTGTACATCTTTGCCAGTTCAAGAAAAGGCCAGTTTTCCATAAGGAAATCACAATGAATGCCCCCAATAATTGAGCTGAATTTTAGGTGCCCCAGTGAAACTGAAATTGCAAATACCGAAACTGCCGGCCAGTTTCACGGGTTCAGGTGATCTGTTCAGCGCCTTGACTCTCTGTTTAATGCAGCAAACAGGATCCGACCTGAAACTGTCGTTGGAAAAAACCGTGGCCACTTTGCAGGCTGTGCTCAAGCGGACTTTAGAATTCGCTAAAGGTCGGTCCGTGTTCAGTTTCCTTTTCTGTTTATAACGAGTCTTTGCAGGTAAAGAAGTGAATCCGAGAAACATGGAGCTCAGATTAATCCAGAGTCGGGATGACATTCTGAACCCAAAAGTGCTGCTCACAGCCACTGTAATCGATGGTAGTTAGTAGCTGGACATAGAAACTCCTTTCTCGTAGTAAGAGGGTGAACACTTTGCAATAGTTAAGTAGAACCCACCTCTGTCTTCCACGTTGTGATCGCACATGACAATAAAACAATAAGGGTCACACTTTGTTTTATATTTAGACTAATTTACAAAAATAATTTATGTAAATAAAACTAGCTTTCGCTAAACTTATAACTCAATAGATGTAGATAAAGAATGAACAATTACAATTGCGCGACTTTTGCCGTCTAATTGAGGAAAATAATACATGATTTTCCAATCTGAAAAAATGCTCAGAACTGGAAGTCTAGTCAATAACCGCACTCAAGGGTAAATTATATGAATAAAATCTTGCTTTGCATTAGTTGCTGCTAATCAAACGCAGAAATGTTTATCGCATGTCCAACCAAATTTGTACCTGCAGCGAATTGAAATGAAGAAATTAATTGATCGTCTATTCGGGTTTTAGACTAAAATTTTATTGTAAGCTAGGGCTGTCTGTTCCACTACTATTATTAGTGTCCGAATTCACTGATGCCAATTGTTCACTTTTTGGGAGTTTCTTGCCGGTTTTCGAAAGGCCAGCCACTTGTTTCAGTAGCACCGTTATTCGTTTATTCAAAGTATCCACTTTATCATCGTGCGCCTTTTGGCAGTTCTTCATTTTGCCACGCAACTCCGCTTCGGTTGTGAAATGTTTTGCCTTCAGCTCAGTTATCTACGCAGAAAGATCCGGGTTAATCTCCGTTTTCCAATGTTTCAGTGTCACAAGGGTTAAACCAGCTTTGTTTTCGCTCTACTGATAGTTAAAATACCGTTATAAGCTTACCGTTTTATCTTTCGAAAGCAACTGATTATCCCTCTGAGAGATTTGCTTCTTCAGGCTGGCGATCTGCTCTTTGAGTTGCGTCATCGCCACAACGTGATCTGAACTGTTAGGGTCCAACTCGCCTCTCATCCCAGGAGCGGGATTCACTCGGGCCATCTTGTTCAGTGGCTGTTCGTCGGGAACGGGCATTTTGGTCACATCGGGGCGATTGGGGCGCTTGTTGTGCCCTCGCGGCCTGAAAACAAAGAGAAATTCCTACATATTCGTCATTTTTTCCTGTTGGCAAGTTCAAGTCTGTCTATATCTTTTTCAACCATTGGAATACAACCAGAGAGTTTATATATTATATAAAATAATTTGAGGGGATTACGGAAGTTATGTTAAAACACTATCAATTGGCAGGAAAGGTGAATGGGGCGTCGTCCTACAACTGTTCAATATAAAGGTGAGCGCGTACTTTTGCACCTTAATCCATGATGTGCAAAATCCGCGAATTACCATGCAGCAGTGTTGGCAAGTTACATGATTTCCAAACAATCGCCCACGGCTCACGCTACTGGCATCGAAACAGATCGCTTAATTGAATTGTTTCGACTTTGCACTTGCTTCATGTGCATTTTCTCTCGAAAACTTTCAGTAGATTTAAAATAGACTTTCTTTCTCCATTAACTAATGCTATTCCCAATAAACCGCCATTTTCCTATCTGGATTATCTATGATAGACACTAGTAGATCAGTGGTGTTTTACTCTATAAACCATTTTCTAGATACATTGTCGCCCATGCACAGGGCGTTCAGATCTATTAGAGGTGGCCATTTCTTTAAAATATAGCAATGTTTTACCCAGCAAGACCAAGAAGCTGTGAAAATATGCAAGATCGAATTTACATTAAATAGTTTGCCGAAGAACGGCCTGATGATCAACGCTTTTGCTGACAAAAAAGCCGTTTTCTGAGAACCACCACCTTTGCGTTAACAGACTAGACGGCTTAATAGTCGAACAGTTGTGAGATGGTGTTTCGGGCAGCAATCTGGACGGTAAAAATGGGACCTTTTAACAGTAAAACAGTTGTACATCAGCTCCATAACTCACTTTCCTTCCTTGTGCTTTTTAATGCCGGACATTTTAAGATGCGCCCTCCTGTCCGCATCTCCTTGCTTAGTTTTGGCAAGTGCCCTTTTAAATGATAACGTGCAGAGCCAACACAACAGCTTTCCGTCCACCTAAAAACCAACAAATACTTGGCGGCTGATCATTTAATGCGACTACCGGCCACGTTACCTTTTTGTCATCGTCTTGCCTATCGAAGGCGCATTTCTGTTTGCACTGTTCGCAATTAACTGGAGGCCCATATTTAATTTCGGAATTGGTGCATCGCTGGCATTTGTTCCCTATAAACGCTGCAATAATGTTGCAGTATTCGCACGCCGTGGGCTTTCCATAAGACTTTACGTTCTGCTCGCATTTTTTGCAAATTGTGCTCGTGTTACCTTTCGATGTTTGTTGAAATTCGGAACGACAGTACGTGCACTTTACTACTGGAAATGCGCCGCGACATTCCTGTTTAAAGAAACACTTTTTACTCAGCATGCCAGCACCAACAAACTAATCTACTTTGTTTTATTTTTATTTCAATGGCTCATTAGTTCCTTCTGACAGAGAAAAATACTTTTTCAGCGACTTTTAACTGTTCCAAAGAGTTCTGCAACGCTTTCAGCCAAATGGCACACTAACTTTCACAGTTAATAACTCTCAAAAACGGGTTTGGGGGTCGCTTTGAAGGCACCCTTTATCTAATGAGATCAGAGTTTTAAGCCATTCGAACCTCATCACTAGTACTACAACTGATCACCTGCTTCCAAGATGTTTCCAGGTAATGACTCAAGCTGATTATGGGCGCATTATAAACAATGGCAATATGTTGCACTTAAAATTAGATAAGTGTGGAAAAGCTGATTAATTCAGAAGGTGAACAAAGCTTGTGATTACTTCTCAGCTGTGTTACATTTTGGCTGATGACCTGAGAATCTGAAAGGTGGTAGCCAGAAAAGTACCACGAGGTGTAAACTTGAAAACTGCCAGCAAATCAAACAGTTCAACAGAAAATCTCTCTGATACCCAAAATGTGTTTGGGTATCACTACCTCACCAATTGTTTAGTAGTTGGTAAAAACAGGACAATTTATAGTAAAATTGCCAAGAGTGTAACTCACTTTGCAAAGCTGTTGACCTGCAGACAGTTCCTCAAACGGGAAACGGGCAAAGCAGCGAGAACAGGCGAATAGGGCGGCAGCACTCATTTTATATGAAATCCAATGTTTCCAAACTGGAAAGCCCTCAAAACTGTGGTGCGAAGCAAAGTTCGGAGTCCGGAAATTTGACTAAAGCTGCTACAGTTTGACGCAAAACTGGCAAAACACTGAACTTTGCTGACAGACGAGCAACTTCAAAATGGCGATTGAAGTTCTCTTCTTCCTTCGCAAATCCCAAGTAGTTCGAGTAGTGACGTCACTGACGCCAACCGAAATTCAATTTTGGTTATTTCAAATAACGCAATTAATTGACACTTTGCTGTCAAATTTTTGAAAACTGGAAGCATGGGAGTGGACTACTACGGCGTTCTACAAATTCCCAGAACTAGCACGGAGCTGGAAATCAAAAAGGCGTAATTCCTGCCCTTTCGGTGGAAAAAAAAACACCCAATTTACCCATATAGATCAGTTACAGGAACCTTGCTTTGGAATTTAACTGCGAACGGTGCAAAATCCCCAAAGCCTATCAGGTGTTTGCGCTGATTGGGGAAGCCTACGAGGTTCTGAGCAAACCGCTGCTCAGAGCCGTGTTTGACCAGTATGGAGAGGAGGGGCTAAAACGCGGGGTTCCCGGACCGGATGGGTACATTGCCGGCTATCACTATCATGGTGATCCAATGCAAACCTACAAGTAGTGGAATCCAGAAAAATTGAGCCCCGGCTTCTAATCCGCTTTCCGTTACAGGGACTTTTTCGGCACGACTTCCCCCTACGCTGACTTGCTGGATGTGCTGAAAAACCCGCCACAACTGTGCAAAACAACAGACGGCATTCAGGTGTGCAAAAAACAGCCTCCCATTCGCCACCCTTTGCAACTGACTTTGCATGAGGTTTTCTTCGGTGGGGTGAAGAAAATGAAGATTCATCGGCTGGTGTTCGTTAACGAGGAGCGCAATAAAACCGACATCCGAGAGAAAATACTTACGATAACAGTGAAACCTGGAGTGCGAGCCGGCACGGAAATAGTCTTTGCTAATGAAGGCGACCAAAACCCTGCACATATTCCCGGTAAACTGTGTTCTCATCGACTCACTTTATTTAACCCATGGGATGCTTCCAGCTGACGTGATCTTCATCACTGAAGACCGACCACATGAGCTTTTTGTGAGGCAAGACGACAATCTCATCTTAACAACGACGATCAGTTTAGAGCAGGCATTGGTTGGGACAATGGTAACTGTTCATACTATCGACCACCGGACAATTCGAGTGCCTATTACAGACGTAGTTTCGTAAGTAGGATGAACCCAATAGTTTTTTTACTATTGAGAGACAAATTTTTGACTATTTGGTCAAGAAGGTGAAAAAATCTGGGAGTTTGCTAGGAGCTTTCATTTGCACGTTTGGGGGATTGGCTCGGTTTTACATGAGATTTTTAATCAAATAGGCATTATTGACATATCTAGTGAGAATTTGATAGTAGATTCGCTCTACTTTTGTAGGCCCACTTATGAGAAAACCGTCGAGAACGAAGGCCTACCCATTCTGGACAAATACCCACTAAAAGGGGACTTAATTCTAAGATTTGACATCGTTTTCCCTGTGTACTTAACGCGAACTAGTAAGGACCTGATAAAAAATGCATTTGCAGTATCGCAAGTGGGAAAGGATAGCCACGAAGCCATTAACAAGCTGGTGCTGGCTGATAAAATCCTAAGAGTGGAGCGCGAACAACAGTTGCCACCCATTTAGCATTAACGTAAAAACCAAACAAGTTCGAGTTAAAACGATTATTATTGGTTTCATGACTGTTGTCGAATAACTGGAAATTACACGGTTTCTAATACACAGGTCGGTGTTTGATTGATTACCTTTGCTACCGCTTTTTCTCGCCTTTCTGTGTTTTGCGCTTCTCCTTCTTTTCTTCTCTAAGCTGTTTTTGCTTTTCTCTAAAACAATGAATGGTTTTGAAATCTCACTGGCCTCCAACTGGCAAACCTACCGATCTTCCTTATCTTTGTCCTTCTTTCGTTGACTTTCCAGTCGAAACTGTTCACGTTTTTGCTTTTCAGCTTCAGCCACCAGATGTGCGTTAATGTTTCTTTCCAAGTTGTCCTTTGTTTCAACTGCAGCACCTCCGTCTTCCTCCTCACCTTCAGAGTCGGTCATTTGGCTGTACTGAGACAAAATCGCCTCTCTATAAGTCAATAAAGTTCAATTAAATTCGTGGTGATTCAGCGACTATTTGATTAATACCTAATCTTTTTTTCTTCGTCAGTATATTGCTTCTGTTTGGTGGTGGCCAAGGATTGAGACTCTAATAGTTTGGCCAATTTTTCGTTAAGTTCCTCATTGGAGGCCTGAGTGGGAAGAGTCTCTTTTGGCTTCAGCGTTTGCCATTTTTCCAGGATTTCCGCACATATTTCCCCGATCTCGTTAACCTTAAAGGAACACCTGCTCAGTTGATTTGTCATGTAGCTAAAAGCCCTCTTGGGTTTTGTAAATTTTTAGCTCCAAAGTAACACTTTATAGTCTAGCGGTCCGAACGCTGAAACTGTCATCATCAAAACAGCGCTCAAACCAACTAACTGAGCAGAGGGAGCTTTGAGGGCGCTCAGCTTTGCATTCATCAAGCGAATGTGGGGCGTCAAACCACCAAAACTTGAATTAATATCAATATAGGCCTAAGAAGTTGACAGATTGATGGCTCGCTTACTAAAGGTCATGAAAACTTACCTACTTTGCCCAATTGAAATTCGGCACCCTCACTACTTACGTTTTCAACTATTTCCGCTAAAATATCTTGAAGGGCTTCGGATTTCTCATCAGAAGAATCGTCGCTATCGAGGATGCTCTGAATGTACGAGCCAAAGACGGTTTCATCTGTGTTGAGGGCCTGCAGCCTCCCGCCCAGCCAGCTGCTGAAGTCGCTGCCCTCCAGTACTGCAGATGCCATTTTCCAGCGGCAAATTCAGAGCAAACTAGTTTTTTCTGGTCACTTTGCTCATCACTGGGCAGATTTGAATTTTTTAATCGGCAGTGAGGTTAGGACAGGAGCTTCGACATACACTGTCGCCATATGATAACAGTGAAGTTATGCGCTATAATGTTGGTCCCCTTTGTGTCAGTCTAATGAATCTAGGGACTTTATCGCATGGATGTGCCGCTGTCTGGCAGAAATTAAAACCCTATTTGCCCATATTAAACAAAAACAGCTGAATGCAGAATTGTACTGAGAAGTGAAGTTGTTTTGGACCGTTTTTAACGTCACGACCATTTAGGAAGCACAGAAAATTTCCAGTTCGTTTCCCAGCTGTATTCATTTCAGTTTCAATTTCCGTATTTAGGATTTGTGTGTCTATGTGCATATTTCAAAGCCAACTAGTGAAAGTTGCAACCTGAGAAAACGTCACCCTTGTCAGAGAAAAATGTCCGTCAAAGTAAAAAAACAAGGCAATCATTGTTGCTAATGAACAATATTTAGTATTACGTGTGTTTATATTTAGTCGCCTAATATGAATATTGGCAGTGGCTGCTTGCAATCAGTTCGGTGTGGGAAATGATGGCAATCTAGTTTGGATGGTAATTGGCAAAAGGAGCTCAACAAATCGAGAATCAATTTGCAACTATGTCAACTATGAAGAGCGGCGTAAAAAAGGAAGGCAAAATGAGGATCCGTGCCTTTCCCGTAAGTATTTCACCGTTATCTCAAAATGCCCATGCGGATCCATGGCCAAACACTAGCCGATGTATCAAATTTCAATCAGTCACGTTCTCACTTGAGCATGTGCTTTTATGCCTGGTCCAAAGGGTTTTAGCCCTCAAAGGGCATGTAACATCGCTCAAAAACAACCCTTCACTTCCTGTTACTCAGGTGGAAATCAACCAGGCTGTCAACTGAGTAAACCCCACGAATCTGTCAGTATTCTGACAAAAAAAACTGGCAAAAAATTATTGTTCAACATTTTACTTATTTACCATTTTTTTACAAAATCTTTTACAAACAAAGCCTGCAAAAGTATCTCCCGACCTACCAATGTTTAATGTATAATTCGATTTTTACAATGAGTGGCTATTCAGACTATTCTACAAAATGGGACCCTCCAGGTGACAATGTAATCCCCATATTACACCCACATTCGCTTCCCAAACCGTTTATTCACCACAATTGCTTTCCTTTAGATGACTATGGATGAGAAATATGTCGAAAGCATATGGGCATTGTTAAAGAATGCCATTCAGGAGATCCAGAAGAAAAACAACTCTGGTCTGAGCTTTGAGGAACTGTATAGAAATGCATACACAATGGTGCTGCACAAGCATGGCGAAAGGCTTTATACAGGACTAAAGGAAGTAGTTACACATCATTTAGAATTCAAGGTAAATTTTCATTATTTGTCTTGTATGTTGTGAGGTGAGGGATTTGATGCGTAAAATAATGAGCGTTTGCCACACATTACGGGAAAACAACCCATTACTCAAAAGGGTTCAATTGGCAAATATTCAACTGCTTTGATCGATGATACCTATGCAAAGTCCATTCTCAACTGCAATTCACACAAACATTTAAAATTCTTTCCAGGTCAGAGAGGATGTTCTGAAGTCATTGCACAACAACTTCCTAATGACTCTCAATCAAGCCTGGAACGACCATCAGACTTCCATGGTGATGATTCGCGATATTTTAATGTACATGGATCGGGTCTACGTCCAACAAAACGACGTTGACAACGTATATAATTTAGGTTTAATTATATTCCGTGATCAGGTGAGACGAAAAACCCATCCAAATTGTTCGTCGATTCAGCGAGTTCCCTTGCAGGTGGTTCGACATGGCTGTATTCGCGATCATCTAAGGGAAACTTTGTTGGAAATGGTGATGCGAGAGCGGCGAGGTGAAAAAGTTGATCGAATTTCCATAAAAAACGCCTGCCAAATGTTAATGGTGCTGGGCATTAATTCCAGAACGGTTTACGAAGAAGACTTCGAACGTCCGTTTTTACAACAGTCCGCAGAGTTTTATAAGGTGCGCGAGCGGTGGTTTAATCGTCAGTTGCCCCTTATAAGCGTTTTACAGGTGGAAAGCCAAAAGTTTTTGGGCGAAAACAGCGCTTCGGTCTACATTAAGAAAGTAGAGGCGCGGATAAATGAGGAATCAGACCGAGCCAAACATTATCTAGACGAATCCACCGAATCTCGGATTGTAGAAGTAGTTGAAGAGGAACTTATTAAGAAGCATATGAAAACTATTGTAGAGGTACTTTTTGCATATTCAAAGCCATACTGCTTCCAAAATACCTTCTATGTGGTTCTAGATGGAAAACTCAGGTGTAGTGCACATGTTGAAACATCAGAAAACCGAAGATCTGGCCTGCATGTATAAAATATTTGGCAGAGTTAGTGACGGCCTTAAAACAATGGCAGATTGCGTTAGTCACTATCTAAGAGAACAGGGCAAAGCGTTGGTACAAGAGGAAGAACACCAGCCGGGAACCAATGCGATCACCTTCGTACAATCCTTGCTGGATCTCAAAGATGGCTTCGACCATTTCCTGAACAATTCTTTTAATAAAGACAAGATCTTTAAGCAGATGATCGCGTCAGACTTCGAACACTTTTTGAACCTGAATCCCAAGTCGCCCGAATATTTATCGCTATTCATTGACGACAAACTGAAGAAAGGTGTTAAAGGGGTAAGCAGTTCGAGTTAATCTGATTGGTAAGAGATACTAATGTGGGGGTTTCTAGATGTCTGAGCAAGACATCGAGCTAGTCTTGGACAAATCAATGGTGCTGTTCCGCTTTCTGCAGGAAAAAGACGTGTTTGAGAGATATTATAAGCAACATCTAGCCAAGCGACTTCTACTAAATAAATCGGTCAGCGATGATTGGGAGAAGAATATGATTTCTAAACTGAAGGTAGTACTAGTGTTCAGTGATTAGTATTTATGCACAAAGTTTATGTGTTTTAGACGGAATGTGGCTGTCAGTTTACCTCAAAATTAGAGGGCATGTTCAAGGATATGACCGTTTCAAATACGATTATGGAGGAATTCAAGGAGCACGTTGTGAAAACCGACGTAACTAACATTAACTCCTATTTCGGGCTAAAATAGTTTTTCCCTAATTGTTGAATTTGCAGGCTCTCTTAGGCGGAGTCGATTTATTCATGAGAGTTTTGACGACCGGATTTTGGCCAACTCAAAGTGCTACCCCCAAGTGTCATATTCCTGCAACGCCCCTGCTGGCTTTTCAATGTTTCCGAAGGTATGCAAAACGGCTTTGGATGGATGGTTGGTTGGTTGGGAGATTTTACAACAATTATTAATTCCAGGTTCTACTTGGCGAAACACAGCGGCCGGCAGTTGACTCTTCAGCCCCAGCTTGGAAACGCCGACCTCAATGCAGTGTTTTACGGGCCTCGAAAGGAAGAATCCGAAGGGGCATGTTCTTCGTCCACTAGTTTAGTGGGAAGTTCCCGAGGGGGACCGCGGAAGCACATTATCCAAGTATCTACCTATCAGATGGTGGTTCTTATGCTGTTCAACAATCACGATAAACTTAGTTATGAAGAAATTCTCAACGAGTCTGATATTCCAGAAAGGTACCACTTAGTAGGTTGCCATAGTTTAGCAGAGTTTTATTGTGGTCTTTTTTTCAGAGATCTCATTAGGGCTTTACAGTCACTGGCGATGGGCAAAGCCACCCAACGCATTTTGATAAAAACTCCTAAAACGAAGGAAATCGAGTCTTCGCACGAGTTCCAAGTGAACGACTCCTTCACTTCGAAACTGCACCGAGTGAAAATCCAAACGGTAGCTGCCAAAGGGGAGAGCGAACCCGAGAGAAGGGAGACTCGCAACAAGGTAAGGATGAGTACAAAAGTACAATAAGAGGATGTTTGCTTAAAACGGTTGCTTGCTTGCTTGCAGGTGGATGAAGATCGTAAGCATGAAATTGAAGCAGCGATTGTTCGTATTATGAAGTCCCGGAAACGGATGCCTCACAACATTCTGGTTACTGAAGTAACCGACCAGTTGCGTAGTCGATTCTTACCATCTCCGGTAATTATTAAGAAGCGTATCGAAGGACTAATCGAACGGGAATATTTGGCGCGTACTCCGGAAGACCGCAAAGTTTATACATACGTTGCCTAAGTTAGTTTCACAACACTTTAATTGAATTGTATGCTCGTGCAATTAATACAACATTTCGTGGTTTTTGCAGTGTGCGTCATTCGTTCGTTCTCCGTGATCCCGATGCGCGAAAGTTGAAGTTCGGAGTTTTTGTTAGGAGAATATGTAAATTTAGTGATCTTTTAAACACTGTACAAATTGATAAGGATTTGCGATGTAAGGAGCCAACATTGATCCGTTGCCTTAATCGTTTCCACTATTTTTTAAAATCTGTTCCACAATTTATCTGCAACAGATCTGTATTTATTACTTTACAGTTGTAAATTAGGATATAGACGTTTAAATCAAAGCAAAAATTTAACCATGACCACATTATGTGGCGGAGAAAAAAACAAATAATTTTAATAGATTTGATGCCTTTTGAGTTGTGGGGTTAATTATGGAAATTATGAAATTTGATCAAACTGTGGTTAATAAAGTGCTTTGCGCCAGATATCTTTTGTACTAATTAAGATTAAGTTTTCTTTGGAAACCGACAGCTTTTGTAAGTTAGTTGCTACTTTTTAAATGATAAATTTAAAAATCTGGTATTTTTTTATCATGCTAAAAATATTATTTATGGAAATTGGAATAAAAACAATTCTGAAATAAAGAAGAAACAGCAAAATTGTTTGAATTACCACACCCAAATTTGCTCTCGAAACGAACGTTTGTGTATCGGCTGGTGTGGCAACCCGGCTTATGCTCAGTGCTTTGACGTATTTGCCAATTTGAGTGAAGTAGCTGGTGCTAAAATGGTGGAATGACTAAAGTAAATTAAAATTATTGTTTTTCCGCGTTTCTCTCCGAGTCATCAGTGCGGATTTCCGATATTGATAAAATCGAAACAATCGCCCAATTCCAGTGAACAGGCTTCGCAAATGGCAACCACCTAATGAAAGACATCCACTTCCGATTATCATTTGGAGTCCATTATTTAGTACTTTGCAGATAAGATTTAAGGAACATACTGGAGTGTGTGATTAAGTGAAATTCAATCGGCAATAATTAGCATGTAACGTTCGTCAGGGCCGCGTTAGTCTGTAGAATGCAGCTTCTGGGTAAACCCATCGAGTAGCTCATTGGTACAAAGCACAGTTTCTAGTTTAAAGTTTCGCTGCAATGGAGCAACTTCTTATTCCGCCAGCCAACTCAGGGGCGGGCCTTCATCAGATCAGCGTTACAGGTAAGTGGGCAATGCTTGTGCAACTCATTATTCCCCAATGTTCAGACAGGTGCTAATTTTTTGCGTTGTTAAACTCATCGATAGTTGGGAATACCCTGATAACATCTCGACCTGTAATTATTATGGGTTTAATCTGCCTGACTACTACTCGTCATCAGGCTTGCTCTATTCCATCTAAACACAGTGAATTCATGTGCAATAGAATGCCTGCATCTTGGGTTCTTCAACTGCTTTTCCATCACTCGCTCAACACTTTTCCGAGAATCTATTGAGAGGTGCCTGAATATGAATTGCAGTGAATTTGATGAAATTTTATTTTTTATATCGAAAACTGAGCTTCCCCTATCGAAAAAGGTGATTCCCAATAAAAGCTAAGGTAATATTTTCAAGGCCCGATTGTTTCACTAGTTGGTATTCACCCTTTTTTCTCGAGTGAATGATTTGATGCGAAGTAAGCCGGTGTGGATGTTGTCAAATATTCATAAAGAATGCATTGGGCGGTTCAATTCTATCAATCCTCGTGAGAAAACTTTTTGCAAATTGACCCATTCTCAAGTATGATAATGACAAAAATTGCGACTCAAAAATAGTGTTTTCCAAACGAAAAGATGGTTCGTCTCAAACGGTAAATTTATCACCTGAACGGAAAATTCAAAGCCTTTGCTAAGCTGTGAAGTGAAACGATCTCCAGATTTCCCTCTAGGAGGGCCACAGAAGGATTTTTGTGTTTGCAAAGGAAAAATAAAGCATCAATAACTGTAGCTTATCAACTACGTATTCTTACAATCTCGTTTTATATCAAATGTTATCAATAATTAATTGAGTGGTGCTCAATGTCGGCTTTAAAATTCGGAGTCTAATCAAGAAAAACCGCAGATATAATTGTAAATAAACGTTTTGTTTTTAGTGGATTCTGCTCACATCCAATCATCATCCTTGCTGAAACCGAGCCCCTATGTGGAGATAACGGTTGATGATGAACAGTCGCGCAAAACCGAAACGTTCAAAAATACCACCCAACCGAAATGGAACGAAACATTCAATCTGCTTGTCAACATCCACTCCAAAGTGCATTTCGCTGTTCTAGACAAAAACAACTTTCGCAAAGACACCGTAGTGGGAGAAAAGACGGTGGATTTGCAACATTTGCTGCTTCATTCAGAGGGCCGGTAAGTGTGTACATGAAACAAAACGCAGTTATTCTACAGATAATCCGCCTATTTGTAACTGGGCTTACGTGAAGTGTCTTTATCATTAATGCTGAGATCAGATGGATTTATGGTTCCCAAGGATCATTTTTAACTCATCGATGTTCAAGATAAATAGGAAAACAGACAAAACCAATTGAATGGCTTGGTCTTTTGGCCATTGCTGCTTTTCGGGTAATTAGACCCTTGAAGCGAACCAGCTCTGAAGACGCTAGCCATGCGTGCCAGCGAAACGTTACGACCAAGCACCTAAATTTACACAAAAAGCATCAATTTTCCAAGGAAGCCAACTGTTTTCCCGTTAACTCATAGACTAACATCAATGTCATTGCTTTCAGGGACCGTTTAGACGTAACATTGGACCTAATGAACAACAAGCAATCGGACTCTCCGGTAAAAGTGGGCGAGTTGATGTGCTTATTCACGGGAATGCACATCGAGCTGCCGTCGGCCAATAGCAGAAAGCGGGAAGTCCTGGCAAAGCGCTCCAGCTCCAATTCCATAACAACAGCTCAAGCAAACTCTGAGGCTCACTCCCACACGGTACTTAATGGTATGTTGATGGTGTATTTGCGGTGCTCGCAGTAATCCGGTGTAATTTCAGGGATTCGGATCAAGCCCAAACCGCAGGACATTGAAAACGCCGCCCCAACAACGTCGAACTGTTCGGAACGGCCGAGTCGACCCACTCGGCCCCCACCCGCACCCCCAACACCACAAACGCCCCCAATAGCCCCAGCCAGCCCTTTACAGGGCTCACCTAGCAGCAATAACATCGCAAACGGTGAGTTCAGCCAGCCAGATTATTGGGGGGTTTCTTACGGTCATTTCTACGGGATTTATAGGAAATATTGGACCGCCCGCTTCCGTGCCTTTGGAGTCCCTCGCTCAACAGGACGAGCAAAGGCCGGAGGAGCCTTTGCCACCTGGTTGGGAAATGAGGTTCGATACATACGGCAGACGATACTATGTGGATCACACTACAAGGTACGTGAGCTTTTGGCACGGAAACGTTCACTTGAATGAGTATTTCGCCTCCAAAAGGTCGACGTCCTGGGAGAGGCCGCAACCATTGCCCCAAGGGTGGGAATTGAGGCGAGATCCCCGTGGGAGAGTTTATTATGTCGACCATAACACCAGGACGACGACGTGGCAACGCCCCAACCTGGAGAGGCTGCAGCATTTCCAGCAGTGGCAGGGCCAGAGGCAGAACGTGGTTCAACAAGGTTCGCACTTGGTCTGTTCAAAGCGACTTTAAGACAGTCTGGCTGGTTTTTCCGCAGGCAACCAGCGCTTCCTATACCCGCAATATCAGGCCGGCCCTGCGCCCGGGCCTTCCGCAGCCTCAACAGCTGTTGAGGAGGACGACGGCCTGGGGCCTTTGCCGTCTGGATGGGAGAGGCGAGTGCAGCCGGAAGGGCGCGTCTACTTCGTCAATCACAAGGTACCTGCCTCTAGTGGACGCTAGAAAACTTAGCTTAGAGATTGTCTTCATTTAGAATCGAACTACCCAATGGGAGGACCCACGGACGCAAGGCCAGGAAATTGGGGAGATCGACGAACTGCCACTACCACCTGGTTGGGAAATTCGCTACACTGATGACACCAAGAGGTCAGCCCGATTCTACGGCGTAACATTACTGGAAGGAATTTAAATAAAAATTTACTCCCTAGATACTTTGTGGATCACAACTCCAAGAGCACAACCTTTGATGATCCGAGACCAGGAGCGCCGAAAGGCCCCAAAGGGGCTTACGGAGTCCCCCGAGCTTATGAGCGCTCGTTCAAGTGGAAAATTAGTCAGTTCAGGTGAAGCACCAGCTCAATGGGGCTTGGATGGGCGTTTTACAACAGCGCAAACTTGCAGGTTTTTGTGCCAAAGCAACGCGCTACCCAGTCACATCAAAATTCAAGTGTCCCGACAGACGCTCTTTGAAGATTCGTTCCATACGATAATGAGACTGCCCGCCTACGAACTGAGGCGACGACTCTACATCATGTTCAAAGGAGAGGAGGGTTTGGATTATGGAGGCGTTAGCAGGGAATGGTTCTTCTTGGTGTCGCACGAGGCGCTCAACCCCATGTATTGTCTGTTCGAGTACGCGAACAAAAACAACTACAGTTTGCAGATCAATCCGGCTTCATACGTGAACCCTGAGCACTTGACGTACTTCAAGTTCATCGGACGCTTTATAGCCATGGCTCTGTACCACGGCCGGTTTATCTACTCAGGCTTCACTATGCCCTTTTACAAGCGAATGCTCGGGAAGAAACTGATCATGAAAGACATCGAGAGCATCGATCCGGAGTTCTACAACTCCCTGGTCTGGATCAAGGAGAACAACATTGACGAGTTTGGGCTCGAGTTGTACTTTAGCGTGGACTTTGAGGCGAGTTTGCAATGGCATGTAATGGGAGCTGTGAACTTTAACAGTGTTTTTTTCATCAGGTGTTGGGGCAAGTGGTGCATCATGAACTGCAGAAAAACGGGGACGCGGAACGCGTCACCGAAGAGAACAAGGAGGAGTATTTGACCTTAATGACCAACTGGCGTATGACCAGAGGCATTGAGCAACAAACGCAGGCTTTTCTCGACGGGTTCAACGAAGTGGTGCCCATCGAATGGCTGAAATACTTCGACGAGAGGGAGCTGGAACTTTTGCTTTGCGGTATGCAGGAAATCGACGTGGAAGATTGGCAAAGACACACGATTTACCGGCACTACACCAGAAACAGCAAACCAGTCACGTGGTTTTGGCAAGTGAGTATTGCAATTTACATTTATTTTGTTTTCCTGCAGGTAAAGACCTGAATGTCTCACTCAACCAGGCCCTTGTTTACACAAGAATAATTCCTGAACTGAACATCCCAACAAAGCAAATTGCGATAATCCTTGTTATGATGAGAGTAATTTCTTAGCGCTAATTGCATGCTTTTGTTTTCAGTTCGTCAAGCAGTCCGACAATGAAAAACGAGCAAGACTTCTTCAGTTTGTGACGGGAACGTGCCGTGTTCCGGTTGGAGGATTTGCCGAATTGATGGGCTCCAACGGCCCACAACGGTTTTGCATTGAAAAAGTGGGCAAAGACTCGTGGTTGCCCCGATCGCACACTTGCTTTAACAGGTTAGACTTGCCACCGTACAAAAGCTACGACCAATTAGTAGAAAAGCTCACCTACGCTATCGAGGAAACCGATACATTCGGCCAAGAGTAAAAAATGGGTTGGCGCTTATGTTCTGTACCTGAATATTAACTAAAAAAATGCTTGCTGACACACTTAATTTTGGATTTGATAAATAGTGGGAGTCAACGTGGCCTCAGATTCGATTTGTCGCTTTAGGACTACGTCCTAATTTTAAGCTTTGAGAGCAGCCTTTTTAGGCAAATTCAGGTATTTGCAAACTAATCTCTTTAAATCTGGTGAAATTGCTTGTAAATATTTGAAAATTTGGCAGTCTACAGGAATTAAATGTATTGTATTATATAAATATTATTATTGTTCGTCGATGTTAACAGTAAATTATATTCACATTCCAAACCTATATTTACAAGGCCTATATTAAAACCAAAGTTGTCAACCTGGTAGATTGAAAAATTTGTTTTATAAATAAACTATTATCACTAGATGTGTGTAGAAATGTAAATAGTGACTCTAGAAGTATTATATATGTAAATATAAGCTCTGTAAATAAAAATTAAATAATACACGTTATTTATCAATAACATTGCTCTTTTAACTTACGTGCAATACACACATGAGATGCAAACGCTCTTCTAGTCTAGCTTGATTTATTCAAAAAGGGACTTAAAAAGAATTGTTCCATGCCTGTCCTCTTCAGGTCCATTATTAATGATCCATGTACTGCCTCCTGATAGTCGTATACTCTTTGTCGTCGATTATCTTAGTTACAGTGGTTTCCTTATTTCCCTCACTATCGATTACAATTTTTTGGAGTTTGTAGGACTAAACCAAAGAGAGATTGTTAAGCTGATTCTTACAAACTCTTCGTACTTACGCCATCCGGGCTTAGAACAGTCCGGACTTCGACGGATTTCTTGAAGGTTCCTGAAGACCTCCCGAATGGGTTCCCACCTGCAAAGCCAGTCTCCCTTTCGTCTGGTTTATTGAATAGTGCATCCAGCTCAGTTAAGTTCAACCTGGCGTTTTAAAGCGTCTCATTCAAGGATTCCTTTGGTGTCGTTTCTACTACCTACTTCCCATCAAGGTCCTTGTCTGCTTTGCCTGAGTTAGAAGGATACTCATAGCTCGGACTCTCATAGTCTGTATTCAGGAAACTATCCCTGGAATTTGGAGAAAATCCTTCCTCTTGATAAGGATCATCCCCATGGAACTTTTCCAGGGCACCTTCAGGCAAATGCATGTTAGGATATAATGTGCATATGGGAATTACTATCTTACCGAAAAGGTGGCCAAAGTTCAGCATCCCAAAGCTTGTGGCGAGCATGTCCATCTGCTGCTCTAAGTAGCGATGCATCTCTAACGGATCGGTGAAAATGTTAAAGTTTCTTCCATTCTCCGGGGGTTTAATAGAGGTGTTTTCTTGGTCAAAGCTAAAAGAAAATTCTTTGCTGAAAAGGCTTCTTTGTCCAAAGCTCGTTTCTCACTTAGGAGAGTTGTAAGGCTGGGGCGGCAATCCAAAGAGTTTTCGGAAAAGATCCATTTTTTCCTAGTGAATTTTGCGTAATAAATGGGTTGTGATGTTCGTTTCAAATTTGGACTTTGACAAGATTTCTGTCAGTCAGTACCGTCGGCTACAGAGAAAAAAGTGCAAGTCTGACAAGTTTCAACCATAGATAAAGACAAGTTCCAAACATCAACTGTGACTCGACCCACAGATTATCAAACTATCGACCACAGAACACCTCTGGACTCGACAACAAGTAATTTGACGTTTCGCAGCGCCACCATCGGTAGTTGAACTCACGAATAGTCTATAACCTCATTTATTCTTTGCACTTTGCTTCAATAATAACAACGTGTTAGGGAGAAAATATTAAAATATCGTCGATTTATGTGAGTGACTAACTGCAAACAATGTCTAGTACCGGTAGCAAACAGGTGGAAGTCCTAGTGGTGGACACAACGGCGTTTATCCAAAATGCGCCCCTTCAGGTAAGTGTTTGGATGCCCAGGAGCCAGTTGCTTACTGAAAAGGGGCCTTATTTTGCAGCAAATCGCAGACAAAATGGTTACATGCCAAGAAGTCGTTGACGAAATCCGAAATAAACGCCAGTTGAGGCGGCTAGTCGTGCTTCCATATGATCTGGAGATCAAACACGTTTTTCCCGAAAATGTGCAATTAATTACAGAGTTTTCGAAGAAAACCGGCGATTATCCGAGTTTATCGCTCACTGACATCAAGGTGATGGCCCTGACTTACCAGCTGGAGAAGGAGAAAGTCGGCACTGCCCATTTGAGAACGGAGCCAGTTCAGGATAGACCCATTGTAAACACTGAAAAACCCGCCGATGAAATCCATCCGGACATCACGGGGTTCTTCCTGCCTGGCAGCCAAAACCCGCATAATGCTGAAACAGATGAATCAGCCCAGGAAATCGACCCAATTCAAGCGGAAAAAGACATGGCAATTGAGCTTCAAGAATTCAGCGCGAAATTTGAGAAACTCAACTGCAATGATGATGATCTAAAAGTGGAAGAAGACATTCTAGTGCCTGTGAAAGACGAGTCGTGTTCCGAGGAAGAACAGTCTTCCAGTGAGTCGCAGGAGGACGAAGATGAAGAGGTTGGCTGGATCACCCCTGCGAACATAGCGATCGCTAAGAAGCAAGTGAATTCCCAACTGATGGAGGAAAAACACGTGCAGGTTGCCTGCATGACCACTGACTTTGCGATGCAGAACGTCCTACGGCAGATAAACCTGAATGTCTCCGCACTGGACGGCCGGATAATCAAGCAATTGAGAACTTACATCTTCAGATGTTACTCGTGCTTCAAAACCACCAGCATAATGACAAAGAAGTTTTGCCCAAAATGCGGCAACAGCACGCTAAAACGGGTGGGCGCATCTCTGGACGAAAACGGCAAAATGCAGATCCACATCAACTCAAGAAGACCATTGACTGGTCGTGGGAAAAAGTTCAGTCTGCCTAGAATCCAAGGAGGCAAACATCCGAATAATCCCATTTTAGTCGAAGACCAGCCCATGCCGGATAATAGACCGACTCGACTAGCTAGAATGAAATGTAATCCACTGGATGATGACTACACTGCAGGTGCGTTGTGACTGATACGATTTAAATAACCAGAAGAACTCATGTTTTATTTAACTGCAGGTTATTCCCCCTTTATTATGCGCGATGTCTACTCAAAGTCAGCTCAGTTGGGGATAAGGCCTGGCGTCGAGTTCAAACAGTGGATGAAGAGGAACCCGAACGAGTCCCGAAGGAAACGCAAATGATTTTTTCACAGTAATTAAAATATTTGTTTTTCATCTCTTGATGGGGATTGAGAGATTTTTGTAAAAAAGTTCCAATAGTTACATTGCAAGGCAAAGTTTGACCTTTAAAAATTAATACAAATTAATTTACCTGCAAAAACCACGCGACTGTTCTCAGCTTTCCATGCTTTAAAACCGTCGTGAAACTCCGGCAACGATAATGAAAATTAATTCAAATCAGTATGTCAATAGCTTGCTCCAAACTGGCCAATTTTCGCTGTGATAGAGCGTTGTTACACCGTATGCTGCATATTAAGAAAAACCTCCTGATTGTGGAAAGTTAACTAGATTCCGATTCAAACCCCATTTATTCATTTATATTGCTTAGCACAGCGCCTAAACTTACAGAACCAGCAGTGGGACTTTTTGAAAATGCAAATATTTCCATTATCGCCATTCGTATAGTAGCTCTGCTCCTCCTTGGCCTCAATCACTGGCGCATCTGAAAACCCTTGGACGTAGACGGCCGACCATAATTTATCCTGATTCTGGTTGAATTCCCTAAAAACGCCCCAAAACAGTCTAGCAAGTGATCCTGATTTAAACCACCCACCTGACGTAGTCAATCAGCTTCATAATCTGATGGGAGTGGAAGAAGCCTCTCCACTGTAACGTTCTGACTTGTCCGAGTGCCACGTTGGGTTCAGGCGTTGTGTATTGATTAGCATAAGCGTTGAGGTCTTCAGAAAAATGCCCGTCTAAACACACCATGCCCAGCCATTCAACGAAATCCACCACATCGCTTTCTTCAACTGTAGCTTCATCTAAAGTGGGTGTGTTCACTGAGTACACTATGTGGGATTGGAACTTCGGCGCGCATAGCTTCACTTTGTAGCCGATATCGAAGAAGAACTTTGCTACTGAAGATGGACACACGGATTCTTCATGCGCTTCCCAGTTGATAATCACGTTGAATTTCTCGAGAGATTGCAAGGCAGCTCTGGTTCTCTTATAGAATGGTTTCTCTGGCACGAGCTTGGGATCGGTCAGATCGATGGTCACAACTGGAAAAAGGTCCATTAGATCAGTCACAAACCTCCCAACAAAACAATTTACCTTGCGCTTGGTGGCTCCTGCAGTTTGGACCAGATGTCGGTAAAGGTAGCTTTGTTTTGAGGGAGTTGATTGAAAGTTTTGAAAATATATACATTTATTGTTCTGCTTTAACTTAAGCAATCGAAAACGCATACAACCACACAAACGAGGTACAAGAATATAGTTGAGTTTTTGCTTCCCACCAATTTCCCAGTTAAAACTAAACGATTAAAACAAAAAAAACCATGCAAAATGATCTAAATTTTCCAACTCAGCTAGCAACTGGAAAAAGACAGAGTGGGGCTGATATCCAAATCAAAGTTGCTGGACTTGATCTGATGTCTAAAGCTATTCAGTTCTTCAATGGAAATACCCTGCCAACTCTCCAGCTCCGAAAGCACCTTCAGACTAGTACAACTGGCCAACAGCAGTTCAACCGTTCTCATGTTCATGTCGCTACTATAAAGCACCCTGAGCTCCTCTAAGTGCTTCATCGGGTTGATCCGCAGAATGTTCACCATACTCGAGTGAGTGATTCCCGATGAAGAGCCCAAATGGATGTACCGAATGTTAACGGCATGAGACAGGATGAATTCCAAATAGCTCGTGCTGCTATCTACCACCCAAAAAATGCGCTCTAAATTGTAAAACGGGTGGGCTTGTAAAGGCTCCAGAATTCGGTTGTTTGCTACCAAGGCCGATCGCAGATCACAATTGTAAAAAACCAGACTTTTCAGTTTCGGGCAGTAGTTGCCTATCACGCCTAGAACGTTGAAGTCCATTTCTTCCACGTGCTCCAAGTGGATGTGAGTGAAGTTGCGCCCGGCAATTTCCAGGAGCTGCTTCAAGGAGTCTCCATAAAAAGCGCATGAGAGCAGCTTGAGTTCCCTCAAGCGGACTAGAGAGACCAGCACCGACAAATCCGCCACTTGCATGTCGTGGAACAGCGAAATGTATTCCACTTTGGGGAACATTTCCACCAGCAGTCGCAGACTTTCCGTAGACAAGTCCCTAGTCTGTATGTTCCTCAGCTCGAAAGGTCCACAGTTGATTTCACTTTGGTAGATGTAGACGATGATGTGACGGAATTCATCACACTTGCCGATATTTTGCAGCCTCGGCAGGCCGCTGATTAGCTTGGCAAGCCCCGATACCGAAACAGACGTTCGATGCAACTGCAGCTCTTTCAGCTGCTTACAATTAAGTAGGCACGGTATGCTGCGGTCGGTTACACAACCAGATGATGTTACATCGATGCTCTGAATGAAGGGGCAGTTTTCTGAGACGGTTTGAATCACCAGGTCGCTACAGTCGAAGCACAGACAAATCGAGCGCAGATTTCTCATAATTCTGATGCCATCCAGAATGTATTTGTCGAACTCGGATGTGCGCCAACCTCCAGTGCAGGAGCCGAGGTTCAGCACCTCCAAGCCGCTCATCTTGCCCAAGTTCTTATATAGCACATATCTCATAATCTTAGGCCATCGGGAGAAGTCAATGTTTCTCAATCGATGATTGAGCACTACCTCAGTCAAACTAACCAGGACGTTCATTTCCGTTAAGAAGTGCGACATCGAATAGTTGTAGTAGCAAGTTTTCCGCTTTTTCTCTATCAAAACCTTTACAGCTTCCAACACCTCCACAGCCATTGTTTCATGCAAATAATAAGGAACGTATGCGACCAGTGTTTCATTTAATCTGTCGATGCTTCTCTGAAGACTGCCCATAATCTTCTCAGGATCTTTACTATGTCGGAATTTCGATATTATGGTTGGCGTCATATGGACTACCAGAGATCCAACACTTTTTAGCGACAGGGTTTTCAAAGAGCGAACATCTCTGAACTTGGGCATTGTCTGAAACAGATTATCGTTCAGCCATAGATGGGTGGTTTTAGGCGTGTTTCATTCTAGTGCTCAAGGGTTTTATCACCAGTTTGGTACTTTTTCCAGCAACCTTTTATGGCATTAATTTTGGAAACTTTCCTAACACAAGATCGAGGCGGATATACAAAATACTCTATATCTTCTAGCTATGCCCCTAAAGTCTTTTACATTTAGACTGCCCTGCTGTTCCCTAACTAACATATGTTGTTTTACTTACTGTATCTGTCTTTGTTCCTTTTGGTAAAATGGGATACTTTACCGTCCAGACCAAACCTCTGATAAGAGTCTTTTGTGAGCGACAAAATCAAACTGCCGGTCGGTGTAATAGCACAGCAATTATCACAATCAATTCGAGTTCCGATGCTTAATAGGATCAATTTTCCTGGAAATAAAAGGAAAAAATCAGGTAATGCGACGAGCAACATTGGCAATTGAATTGAATTGACGACACATTGTAGCTGAAGCGAACAGAGATAAGAAAAAACAGCCATAAGAATGAAGCATCAGCTCTAGGCAAGCCCAAATCAGCCATTTAGGATTAAGTCGAGGAAAGGAACAGCTCACGCAAAGGGCACACGCTGCAATTCGAGTTTCACCAGCCAAGAACCTTTCCAGCATATCCCAGCTTTTAAGGATTTGTAGGCAAGTCTTTGAATGCTAGTCCAGTCTACATAAGCTAGCGCCTGTGATGAAACGATTTAGAAAACTCACCCTTTTTAATAAAATTCTGTCGAAACTTTGAGCCCAACAAAGCAGCCAGATTCAAGTCCAAGATCTTGTAATACTCGCAGTCATTGACCAGCACGTTAGCGAACTGATCGGGTAGTTTGAAAGAATCTGGCAAAACTACCGATACCTGAAAATCCAAAACACATACATCACAGAAAATACAACATAAACACCTATAAATAGCCACCTACCAAGTGGTTGAAATGGAACTTTTCAACCTGCTTCAATGAGAGCTGAGCAGCCCCGATTCTCTGCACGTTGAAGGATGGTTGCGGCTCAGAAAATGACCACACTTCGGGATTTTGCATTCTATACCAAGTCCACTTTCAATTATCACATGTAATTAGACTGAACGGCCGTTTCAACATGCATTTTTCCAAATAATCACTGCGAGATAAGCCTTTTACGTTGCAAAACTACTAACCAACCTCAACAATCAGCTGTTGACATATTATGATCACTTCTTCTCTACATTCTGTAGCTATGTGGATTAATTATAACCATTATAACCTAGCTATATTCATAGGCTATATTATTAGAACTTGGCCAATGTCACAACAAAAGCAGTATTTATCAGTCTACTCAAGTGCATAAATTCCGTCGAATTTGAATGGAAAAAACACTTAGAAACAATGAATTATTTCCTGACAACATTCAGAAGACTTCTGGTGTTGGAACCATCAACTCCAGCTATTAGCAGGACGGTGACAAAAATCGTTCCGCAGCCGAAAAGTACGGCCAATGCAGCCGAATCGAAAATTTACGAAAAAGCTGTTAGAAGTGAGATGACAACGCTACTGGGCATCAGAGAGATCGATGCCCTAAGACTGCTCACTGCCAACAAGAAACTACTGAGTGCCTCCGATTCGTTGATCGAAGAAAATATCAGCACTTGCCTGAGGCACGGTTTGACTAAAGACATTTTATTGAGGCACCCTTTTTTGCTTTATGAGACCAATTTGGAGGAGAAACTGTCTTCCTTAAAGGAACTGCCACTGGATCTTTCAGTTACTTTAAGTTTCGCCAGAATGGGGACGAAATATTTGCGTAATCTCCAGTTGATGGGCAAGGTTTTAACGGATAGAATCGCAGATATCCAGAGAATGTTCAACGTAAGGCACTAAGTGGAGACACAGGACGGAATTCTCATTCCACATAAATTCGCAGGTGCCTCTGGAACAGGCGTGTCAAGTACTGGCAACTAGACGGTTCCTCTTGTGGAAGCCACTGAGTGAGCTCGAAGAGATTCTGTCGGTGTTTTCAGGTAATGATCTTTAATTTCCCACATAACAAGTGTAACAGTTGCTATTGCAGAGTATCAAATTGAGCGAGAAGAACTCCTGAGGGATTTGTGGGTGTTCAAATACAGTGTCGATCAAATCACAAGCCGCTTAGGGTTTACTAAGCAGCATGGAGTCAAGCTGAAGACTTGGATGATTCGTTGCCCAGAAGATGTTCTCTACAAGTAATAAAGAGCATTTATTTACCTTCTCTCTAGTAGTCGACTGTCTGATTTGTTGCAGACATCTGAAGAGGGAATCGGACAACAGGGACATTCTAGGAGAAAACTCCGTCACGCAATATCTGTCTCAAAAGCTCCATTGTTCTGACATAATGGCAAAGAACATAATCAAAAAACACCCTCAGCTGCAAAATAAAAGCCTACTGAAAATCAATCTGATGATAGATCTGCTGTACAAGTATGGATTTACGCCGATGCACATCTGCCGCGTGCCGAAAGTGCTTCTGCATAGCAGGAAAACCAGCGAAATGAGACTGAAGCAGTTGAAAGCCTTTGGGAAACTGCCGGATAGTTTGTATATCCTGACCAAGAGCCAAAAGCAGTATCTGCAGCACTTAGACAATCTGGTAAAAGAAAACACCAAGTCGCTAACTGCTTTATAGTATACGTTCAAGCTTTAAATAAAAGCCCTGTACATTTGGAGCTACGGTTTGTTCTTCTCCTGCACTTTCATTGATTGAGAGTTGAAGTAGACGAACAGAACCACAGCAGCCAGTCGGGATTGAAGATCTTGTTGGTTTAAGTCATGGGCCCACTCCACTCTGCCCCACCTGCCGCACTGGTATTCTTCCTCGAGCCTTGACAACAAAACGGCCTTTTCTGGAGTCAGAAATCGGTCGATTGCTGCCAATGTGAGTATCACAGATTTCAAAGTATCTACCCCATAGAGGAAGCCTGAAATTACAGCCCCTGTAGCTGTTTTAGAACTTTGAGACAGTAATGACTCCATTACCGTTAACAGATGCAAAGTTATACGACATTAAGTGCCTAATTAAGGTGGTTTTATCCTCTTCGCTAACGGGCGAAACGTCCATTTGGACGGACTTTTTTAATTTCACGTTAAATCTCTTGTTGAACCATTCGATCACTGGGTCCCATTCAGTGATTTGAAACTTCATCAAGTCCTCATCCTCCTGCAGATTTTTTTAAGTAATAAGTCAAAGGAAAACTATCTGGAAAAACACTCACATTTGCCTGATATAGGACTGTATCCGTGTCCAAACAATTGACTATGTAATTCACTATGTCCAACTTGGTGAGATTATTCGGGTTATCCAGGACAGTATTGCATAATGTCGTCTGGAAATTGTGGGTTTTACTTAGAATGGCAGGATTCTCGGGGCGTTTCACTTACAATGTGCATTTTGCTTTGGACTATCTTGCCCTTTTGAGAGTTCCACTCTGTGGCCACTGCCAGGGCTAAGGGCTCACTGTCGACCAAAAAAAGGCTTCCTTTCGGGGTTTTTAACTTCCTTTGGTCCAACGTGATTTCAAACTTGCCATCGCTTTTCAGGATGCTGCTTTTTTTGTAGAATCGACTTGGAGTGGCTGCAGGCAACGACTTTGATCAATGACAAAATGCTGCATACTTACAGGCTGAGTTTTACCGTATTTTCTCACTGCTTGCACAACAGCAACATTTAAATTATGTAGTTTCGTGCAAAACATTTTATTTGGCAGGTTATCTAACCCTCAAAACTTGATCTGACAGGCAAACCACAGATTACAAAGTACCTCTGTGATCTGTGAGTATAACCTCTGTTCTGTGAGGCAAACTGACATCCAGTTTTACAATTTTGTGTAATGAAACTGAGCTAGAAAATAGGTTTAAAGTAAAGTGCCAGCAAAATGCCGTTTATGAAAGGACCAGCTCCGATAAGGAGAACCATCAAGTACTTGGAAGCAGGCCGGTTGTGCCTGAAAGATCAACTGAAAATCCTCACAGTGAATTACAATATACATGGGCAGAGCCACCAGGGCGCCAGGTATGAACCTTAATTTCACTTGGTTTAGTTGCACTCACCGGGCTTGCGAATGGTCAGTGTCTTGCATTATATAACTTCGGCTTGTAGTAACTATTTTAATAGGAAATTCCACATCAGGCAATAAAATGAGTAAAAATGAATGTAGCTCGAAAATGCGTTCTAAAACTGCATATTCTCATCGAAGAGAACTAACAAGTTTTAAAGCGGCCCTGTGAGTGCTTGCGAGTGGCACTACCAGAACCTTTTCTTTTACAATGAAAAAAGCACGTTCAAGTACTGATTCCGCTGTAATAAATGTTAAATCAGGTGGATACTTGTAAGGAGCCGGCATGGTTTTGTGTTGTTTTATCAATAATATTATTCGATCAATAAATTGTTTTAATTTCAACGAAACATGTGGAATCAAACACAAGCTTCAAGAATTAAAGCGACCGTCAAGCTTACAACCATTATCGTGTTCGCACATTCAAAAACTTATCACAAATCACTAGAAACCGACTCTTTTTCCACATAAACGACTAAAACGAGCTCGAAAGTGAATCGATAACGTCATTGGTTTCGGGGAAAATAAATGCCAAGCTCAGGTCTGCTTAAACAGGTGCAAACAAACAAAATTAGAAAAAATTACTAGATGGTTCGAAATCGAAACATTTTCACTTATAGAAAATTTTTTTCTTTACTAATGTGATATAAAAGTCTTTCAAATTTTGCAACAGCTATGAGAAAAAAATTGTCAAACTTTGTTATGTCAAGCTTAAATATCCGCAAAAACCACAATGTTAAAAATGTTTTTAAAATTGCCTAATGATGTCTGAAAATCGAAACTTTTCACACTTATAGAACAGACGTTGCCCTACAAAATGCAGTCAGAAGCAAGCATTTCTCTCACTTTTTATGTTACTGAATGAATTTTGCAAAATTGCCCCATAATGACTTCGAATTGAAACTTTTTTCACGTACAGAAGCGACTTTGCCCTAAAAAACGCATCTGACACAGTTTCAGAAGAAATAAATGGTTAATGACTTTGTGTACTTATAAATATAGATAGAGACTTTGCCCTACAAAATGTATCCAAACCTGATCTTATCAACCACACGCAAATTTGAAAAGATCCTGCTGATGACTGAAAATTGCACCATTTTCCGCTTATGACTTTGTCCTACTTAACAAAAGTGTAAAAAACACTATTATTTATATTATGAATTGTTACAGGGAATTTGTGTTCTGGCACCTGCCCCACATTCAATATAAAAACCCCCAAGTGCAAATAGCGACCTTTAAAAATGTGACCCCCAGCCCCTTCATCAGAGCCTTTTACGGTATGTACCAGTTAATTTGCGGTCAAATTATGCTCGAATTGCTGATCTTTTTAGATACCGGAGATCACATGCTGATTGATATTGATGGCCGGTCTAAGGATGAAATCTATGAGCACTTGATCCGAGTAGTTGGAAAGGATCGGTGAGTTTTACCCACTTAGTAGCTGCTGATTGGCACTAAGAGCCTAAACTTGTAGGGAAACTCTGATGGCGGAAAATATTGCAAAGGAAAAGAAGGATAATCCGGCGAACTTCGGAGTAGGGTGCGACAGGCATTGTATTTGCGAAATTCCCGGCCAAATTCCCTGTCCGGGCACTTGCCCGCTTCCTAATCATATGAGAGGGAAATTCAGAAGGGCCAACAAAGATTAGGTTGTTTGTGAGTAAGATCAGTTTTCTGAAAATTGCCACTTTACGCAACAAACGTAGCAGGTTAACGGGGAAAATAATGAACTCACGCTCAAATTGATAATATAACTTTATAATTATCTGAATAATAAAATGATATCCATACAATAGTTAGGTTCTATATTTTAAAAAAATCACACTTATAACATCTCTTTGGAAATAACAGAGAGAAAGAGAGAAAATATACGGGCAACATGCGAGTAAACAAGACGTTGTAGCTGCTATTTCGTTTGTTGTGTTAACTGATAAACATTCATGGATATTATAGACACCTGGCCAAAAAAACGGTAAAACAGTCTTGAATTGCACCAAAATATAAACATATAAGTATACTTTACTAATATAATATAAAATTTCACTAAAATGTATGTTTAGTATAAAATCCTATGACTGATGTCTAAAAATAAAGATAAAAAAGTGTTTTGAGACTATTTGAGAAAAAAATTGTAGTGCTCAATCGGACTTCCTTCAATGTTTTCCCCAACAGTATTCGCTTAATGCTAGAGGAATATTAAGTTGCAATACAAATTTTTATGCAAAAGTGTATATACAAAGTTACCCCCAATCGATTTGAACAATCAAATTGAGATTTATTATACTAATCATTTCAGGATCTATCTACAGTAAAGTGAGCATTCGTCTGTCACTAGATTACTGGTTGGCACCAAACTTAACCACAGTAAATAAATGCAGTGTCCCAATCTAATAAAAATACTTGCGGCAAATATTCGAATTTGTTACTTGATTTGTTTGATTCTTATCGTAATTTTGGATCGTACAAATTGACCTAAGAACTGCCAATGTTGCCCTAAAGGGGGATAAATCACGGAAGTGGAGCTTTTGTACTTTCATTTTGTCTCACTGTAGTGAAAATTTGCAATTTCTTATAGACATTGTTCGCGGCCAGTCGAAAGTTATTCCTGACGATTGAAGGTGATTTTACGTAAAGAACAAGTCATGCATGATTCCGAATGTAAAAACGCAAAAATTTAGTTAGCACCAATACTCTTATCCTAACCCTCAGCGAAAAAACGTCGAAAACTAAGACAACACCTAGAAATGGACGCGTGTGGCAATCAGTCGATTTTTGAGCCCAGCAATTAGAAACTCACATCAACATACACGTCGGTTACATTCGACTAAGACTGATTTGCGGGCACGCCGTCCTGAAGTGCCGATTTATCACCTACATCATCACACGATACGGTAATTGTTCTATGCTCTAGCGGCAGTTCGTAATCACTAATTGTGTCGAGATTATCACTGGTTGCGCGTTACCAGTTCGCCATGCCCGGCTTATTTAACGTCATAAAGTAGATCTGACATGAGGAACCGCTCTTCGCGCTTGAGAAGAACACCTTGTCGTTGCGCTCGCACAGGAATTTGAGCCGTTGCGCCTTTTTGTGCATGAAGACACCGTCCAAGTGGCCCGATTCAACCGAGCGGATTTCTATCGCCTTGTTGCCCCAGCCCATTATTTGCCCAGTGCCGATGTAAGCCACTGATGTCGGCATTTCTCCCCACTGAAACGCATTATAGCGATATCAATGAAGATCGCTATATCTAATATCCTTACCTGTAGCAGCATATTTTTCGAGACTCTCCCATAAGTATTTACATATACACCTTCATTGTCATAGCACAGTAACAGCTGCATTCCATTGCTGTTGGGCAAAGTAACTATGCAATGGGGAGTGATGCCGTTCTGTGCCTGTAACAAGCAAAAAACAGTGTCCAAATATTCGCAGGTCGCAAAGCGATGCAACTTACATGTTTTGGCAAATAAATGTCGTACACACTGGCCGAGTCGAGGTCAACAGCATGGAATCCATCGGAACTGCCGTAAATCACTTTTAACCTTGTGCCCTCTTCAACGGTAAGGTCGACTAAAAGCGGCCGGAAGGTTAGATCACAGAAAGACTTGAAAGCCATAAACTTATGGTAGGGTTTCGGGGCCCACGCGTAGATTTCTATGCTATCTCTAAGCGCTATGACTAAGAACTTTATCCTCTCGTATTTGACTATTTTAAAATGCACAGCTCCTTGCAGGTCGCCGACATTGATCCATCCGTTGCGCCGCTCGACTTGCTAAAATAAACCTTCAAAGAACAGTTTAAACACAGATTTCTGTCGCTTACATCACTGACACCATCGGTCCGCAATATTTTGCTCTTCAGCCAACTGAGGTAGTAAACGCGAACTCGGTTCTTCTTTCCCGATATCGTCACGAGTATGTTTTGCCCTTCCAGCACCTCCATCTGTTGAAACCGGCGCCTGGAAATCAGCTGGTAAACCTTCCCCTGTCCGCTTCTGTCCAGCAGCATCAGTCCATGCTCAGTGCCGATCAGTAAATTAACACCTAAAAATCCCCCTTCATACTTTCCATATTCCATAACAATGCTTGCACTCACCCCAAAGCGCGGCGCAAAGAATTTCGCTATTGAATCGCTTCTTGTATTTTCTGATCTCGGGCGTGTCTGAAGAAATGTCGTGCGATGTGGGCGTCACATTAACGTTCACATGAGATTCCCTTCGGGATGGCTGCGAGCTGGCCCCAAAGCCAAAAGCCAAAAACGAGCGCTGCTTCTGTTGCAATGCCAAAGCATTAGCGTGCAAAAAGGGGCTCGAGTGTTCGGGACGATACTGTAACGTTAAGAGTTCGTTTGTGGATGACCGCTCGACTTTCCCTCCAACCACAACATGCTAATTTCATGCGCTCTGGCAAAAAGTTCTTTGGTTGATCGCGGACTACTTACAACAGCACCCATGCTTCAAACCAGCTACACATACAAAAATCCCACGTTTCGAAGACTGTTTACTAAAAATATATGAATTGCTAATGGATTGATCCTACAATGAAGGTGCATTTTTCGTGGCAATCTTCCAAAGGCTTTTGGTTGTTTTCGGGTCGCGTATTTTTATTAATAAATTGTCAGGTGTTTTTGCCAGAGTGTTGCGAACGTTCCTGTTTCGACTACATACACGCATTTATTTTAAGTA